GCTACCGTGTGCGGCCAGCAGCCAGCGTGAGCGGCCAGCAGCCGCCGTGAGCGGCCGTCCAGAAGCCGGCGACTGATCTGCCTCACCCGGGAAGAACAAAAGGATAGCAACTTGTCTGTTCCCCTTTCCCCAATTCCCCAGCGCTGTTCCCATCCCCCAATTACCCAATAAAAATCTTAAAAAAAAAAAAAGGATTCTCTTGAGAGCCTGCTTCTTCACATAGCCCACTTCCAACAGAATCTCACATGGCTATCTGATGGACAGAACCTCAGCTCCCCAGATGCAAGCTGGAAAAAAGAGTTTTTCTGGCTTCTATCTTCATTAGGCAGGTCTACTGAAAGGAGGGAACTTCCCAGTCATAGAAAAGTGTTCAAAAGCAGTGGGCATGTTCACACAAAAACTTGTACAAGAATGTTCTTAGCAGCTTATTTGTAATGGCCCCAAACTGGAAATACTGCACATGTCCTTTAACAGGTGAAGGGTTAAACTGTGGTCCATCTATACCACGGCATATTACTCAGCAATAAAAGGAATGGACTGTTGATACATGCAACCACTTGGATGGATCTCCAGGGAATTATGCTGAGTGAAAGAAGCCAATCCCAAAAGATTGCATACTGTGTTAGTCCATTTAGATAACATTTTGAAATGACAAAATTTTAGAAATGGAGAACAATTGTTGGTTGCCTGGGGTCAAAGATGGGGAGAGAGGGCATAGTGGGAGGGAGGTGAGTGTGATCATAACGATGGATATAATGTTCTATATCTTGACTGTGGAGGTGCATACTTGGACCTACACACATGATAAAATGTTATAGAGCTAAACACATACACATAAATGAGTACAAATAAAACTAGAAATTCTGAATAAGATTGGTGAGTTGTATCAATGTCAATGTCCTGGTTATAATATTATACTATAGTTTTACAAGATGTTCGCATTGGAGGAAAGTGGGGAAAGGGTACATAGGATCTCTCTGTACTATTTATTATAATGACATGTGAATGTACAATTATTATAAAAAGAATCAAGAAAAAAAAAGCCGCGGGAAGCTGAAAACACTAGGGATTTGGGACTTTATTTTAAGAGCTGTGAGGAACTAGTGAGGGATTTTAAGCAGGAGTGACACATGTCTTCATTTAGCACCTATTTTCTGTCCAATGGTAGGATAATGTTATCCTGGTTTAAGTTACAGCTATGACATTTTAATTTAAAATAAAATTTAAAAGATCTGTCATTTTATTTTTAAACCTGTTGTGGTTTCCCAGACTTTCCAGGAAGGCAATTTTTGGCCCAATATATGAGCTCTGGTTGCTCTTGCAGCAGAAATAATAAGGATTTGTTCTTTCATTCCTTCCACATGCATTTATTAAGCATCTGCTATGGGTCAGGCACCGTGCCAGGCACTAGATTCAGCAAGGATAAGACGAAGACGGCCCTGCCTTTGAGAAACTGCATTGTTAGACCCTGGGAAAAAAACAGTGGTTTCAATAAGAAAGGGATCAATCTGGGTATCATGTAACCAACCTGAAGACTGGGAACAAAGTTCCAGAGTTGGTTGGTGCAGTGGCCTCATAATGTCACCAATGTCCCCCAGGCTCCTACCATCTTTTTGCTCCACCATCCTTAGCATATCCTCAAGTTTACCCTATAGTTGCAAGGCGGACATTGCAGCTCATATCACATAAGGAGGAAGGAAGAAAGAACAGCAGGAGACCTGCGCTGAATGACAAATTGGCAAGCTCCCTAAATCCCCTTAGGGAGCTCTCCTGGGACCTGCATCCACCAGCTTCCCATTAGCTGCCATTTGCATCTCATCAACCACTCTGATCTGCAAGAGATCTGGAAAATCAGGATCCTCTTATGGGGACTAGGAGAGAGTGGATAATGATTGGTAACCAGAAGCCTCAAACACAGGCTCTTGTAACGTAGGTGGGGAGGCAAGCATGTAACTAACTAGTAACCAAACATCATGGTAACTGCCTGTGTGTGTAATGGAAGTACGACATAAAGGCTGCAGAGCCACAACCCAGCCTTGATGCAACCAGGGAAGCCTTCGCAGAGGAACAGACCTTGTGAAGAAATTACTCGGTTCAGGGAACTGCACTGCATGTACCAAGGCGTAAAAGGACCTGTCATGTTTAAGACAGAGGAAAGTCTAGTGGTATTGGAGCATAAGGTGTTTGTAGGAGTGTTAGGAGAAGAGGCTAGAAAAGTAGGCTGGGGCCATAACAGGAAGGGCCTTGAATGCTGTGCTAAGTTTGGACTTGGTCCTATAAAGTAATATTGGGTTGTTGGAAAAGTCATGACGTATTTTGTCCATGTTTTTCAAAGTTCATTTATTTATATAAAGAACAAAAATCAATCAATGATATATTGCTCGTTTTGTTCAATAACCTTTTGCCATCTTTCAGTGAGCTTCATAATTCCTCGTTCATAAAAGGACATGTCTTTATTTGCAAAAAACTGAACAAGGTGCTGAGTTACAGCCCTATCTGAATTGGACGTTATACCACTCAAGGAGTTTTGAAGAGACTGAAACAAGTAGAAGTCTGACGGCGCAAGGTCAGGTGAGTATGGTGGGTGTGGCAACACATCCCATCCAAGCTCCAATAATTTTTTTTTTTAAGATTTTTATTGGGGAATTCGGGGGATGGGAACAGCGGTGGGGAATTGGGGAAAGGGGAACAGACAAGTTGCTGTTGTTTTGTTCTTCAGTCTAGTTGTGGAGGACATTGCTTCACTGGCCCAATTTGGTACCATCATTGCGCTCTTCCCAGGTGAGGCATATCAGGTGCCGGCTTCTGGACGGCCGCTGGCCGCTCACACTGGCTGCTGGCTACATATGGTAGCCCATGGCAACCCACTGCCACAGGGGCTGCAGCCTACACCGTCGCCGGCGACTCACGGTAGCCCAGTTCCAGGTTGATCTGTTGTTCAGCATCTTAGCTGTAGAGGGCAGTGTCACTGGCGCTCATATGTGGGATCCGAACCGGGGCCCTCTGGTGTCCCAAGCCAGTTCTTAACCATCGCGCCACTCGGCCGGCCCCAAGCTCCAATAATTTTTGACGGGGGATCAAACTTGTGTGTGGTCTCGTGTTGTCACCAGGGAACACAACTCCTTTACAATTAACGAGCGCTGGACGTTTCTGGATGATGGATTCGTTCAAACTGTCCAATTGCCGAAAGTACATATTTGAATTGATTGTTTGGTTCCTTGGTAGGAGCTCGAAAAACACTACACCTTTAAAATCCCACCACACTGAGAGCATAACCTTCCTCTGATGAATGTCGGCTTTCAATGTCATTTGAAGTGAATCATCACATCGGG